ATATTCCATCAGGAGTATATTCCATCCCAAGAATCCACTTTCTTTGCTCATTCATTAGGAGCAATTCCTCCTCTGTTCAAGTTTATTATCAGATTGCAGCTATTCAGCTACCTCTTTAGGCTCCATTTGTAATTCTAGATCCCTTGCTAGTTCCACACACCTGCAGTTACTCTCATCACCTAAGTCTTCAATGTCTCAAAGTCATCCATGAAGGTTGGAATCAACTTCTTCCAAACTCCTGATATTCTGACACTCACTATGAATCACAAATGATCTCAATGGCGTCTAGAACGGCAAATCCTTTCCAGAAGGTTTTCAATTTACTTTGCTCAGATCTATCAGATGAATCACTATCTATGGTAGGTATAGCCTTATGAAATGTACTTATTCAATAATAAGATTTGAAGTCAAATTACTCCTTGATCCTTGGGCTTCAAAATGAATGTTGTGTTAGTAGGTATGAAAACCATGTTAATCTCCTTCAGAGTTCTTGGATGACCAGGGGCCTTGTAAATGACTGATGATATTTTGAAAGGAATCTTTTTTTCTGAGTAGTAGGTCTCAACAAAAAGCTTAAAATATTCGTTAAATCATGTTATAAACAGATTTGCTGTCATCCAGGCTTTGTTGTTCCATTTATAGAGCACAAGCAGAGTAGATTTAACATAATTCTTAATTATGAATGGTAACATTGACTTCAAGTCACCAGCTACATTAGTCACTAACAAGAGAGTTAGACTGTCCTTTGAAGCTTTGAATCCAGGCATTGACTTATCCTTTCTAGCTATGAAAGTCCTAGATGGCATCTTTTTCAAATAGAAAGTTTTTGTCAACATTGAAAATCTGTTGTTTAACGTATCCACCTTCATTAATTATCTTAGCTAGATCATCTTGATAACTTGCTGCAGCTTCCACATGAGTACTAGCTGCTTCACTTCATACTTTTATTATGGAAATGGCTACTTTCCTTTATCCTCATGAACTAACTTCTGCTATCAAACTTTTCTTCTGCAGCTTTCCTACCTCTCTTAGCCTCCACAGAATTGAAGAGATTTAGGGCCTTGTTCTGGATTAGGCTTTGGCTTAATAATATGTGGCTGGTTTTATCATCTATCCAGACCACTAAAACTTTCTCCATATCAGCAATAAGGCTGTTTTGCTTTCTTATCATTCATGTCTTCATTGGAATAGTATTTTTAATTTCCTCAAAGAACTTTTCCTTTGCATTTACAACTTGTTACAACTTGGCTATTTTGCTTAATAAGCTTAGCCTATCTCAGCTTTCAACATGCCTTCCTCGTAAGCTGAATCATTTCTAGCATTTGATTTAAAGTCAGAGACATGGGACTCTTTCACTTGAACACTTAGAGGCCATGTTGGCCTAATTTCAACATTGTTGTTGTCTCAAGGAATGGGGAAGCCCATGGAGAGGGTGAGAGATGAGGGAATGGCTGGTTGCTGGAGCAGTCAGTACACACAACATTTATTGATTAAGTTTGCCATCCTATATGGAGATGGTTCGTGGAACCCCAACATAATTACAATAGTAACATCAAAGACACTGTTCACAGATCACTATAACAAATATAATAATAACTAGAGACCCGGTGCACAAAAATTTGTGCACTCGGCGGGGAGGAGGGGTCCCTCAGCCTGGCCTGTGCCCTCTCACAGACTGGGGATGACCACCTGCTGGCTTAGGCCCACTCCCTGGGGGATTGGGCCTAAGATGGCAATCAGACATCCCTCTGGCAGCCCGGCAGCCCTCAGGGGATGTCCACTTGCCAGCGTGGAGCAGACCTAAGCTGCAGTTGGACATCCTTAGTGCTGCTGAGGAGGCAGGAGAGGCTCCCACCACCACCGCTGTACTGGCAGCCATCAGCCTGGCTTGTGGCTGAGCAGAGCTCCTCCCATGTGAGAGTAACCTGACCACCAGAGGGCAGCTCCAGCATTGAGAGTCTGCCCCCTGGTGGTCAGTGTGTGTCATAGTGACCAGTCATTC